GCCATCAGACAAAAAGCCTTACCAAAGAGGAACTAAGGGGAACTTCATCCCCTTCATCCGAGTGTTGAATTTCCTTCAGAAGCAACCTGCCTTTTGTTGCTCCTCACTGTTGCAGGTAACCGATTTTAGAGTTTATCCAGAGATAAATAATTGTTGCTGTTAATAGAAGTTAGTTGTTATCTGTGGAAAGGTTGGTCTGAAAGGAGCTGCTTGGCCATTGGCAGTAGTGGAATCACTTCTCATTCTCTTCGGCTGTCAAGGTTTACTCTCCTGGAGGAAGAAGTCCTGTCTGTTTCCTTCATAGCCCCCTGGAAGCCAAGCAGTATGGTTGAAGAAGAGATAACTCACCCCACCTCCTTCCCTCTCTTCAAGGGTCGTGGACAGAAAGAGGCAACCCCTGCCCACCCCTCACCACGGGTGTCGCCATCTGTGGTAGGCTGATTAACGGCCCCCAAGGATATCCAGGTCCTAATCCTGGAACCTGTGATGTTAATTTATATGTCAGAAGGGACTTTGTGGGTGTGAGTAAGATAAGCATCTTGAGATGGGGAGATGATCCTGGATTATCTGGGTGGGCCCTAAATGTAACCACAAGCTTTCTTTTTTTTTTTTTTAATTTAATTAATTAATTAATTTATTTTTCCCCCAAAGCCCCAGTAGATAGTTGTATGTCATAGCTGCACATCCTTCTAGTTGCTGTATGTGGGACGTGGCCTCAGCATGGCCGGAGAAGCGGTGCGTTGGTGCGCGCCCGGGATCCGAACCCGGACCGCCAGCAGCGGAGCGCGCGCACTTAACCGCTAAGCCACGGGGCCGGCCCACCACAAGCATTCTTATAAGAGGGAAGGAGGGGGGGTTTGAACACAGAAGAGAAGAAGGCCGTGTGATGGCAAAGCAGATGAAAGCAGAGCCCGAGAGAGAAGATGCTGCACCACAGGTGTGAGGCTGGAGGAAGGGGCCATGGAGCAAGGAATGCAGCCCTAGAAGCTGGAAGAGGCAAGGAGACGGATCCTCCACTAGAGCCTCTCAAGGAAGCGGGCCTTAAATTTAAACTTAGTGGCTTAAAACAACAGAGATTTATTCTCTGACTGCTCTGGAGTCTCCTGGGATAAAATCAGGGTCTTGGCAGGCTTGGTTCCACCTGGAGGTTCTAGGGGAGAATCTGTTCTTTGCTTCTGGCAGTTTCTGGTGGCTGCCAGCATTCCTTGACCCGTGGCAGCGTCGCTACAATCTCTTCTATTGCCACACACCCTTCTTTCCCTTCTGCAGTCAGATCTCCCTCTGCTTCTCTCATAAACTTGTGATTACGTTTAGGGTCCCTGCAGATAATCCCTCCATCCCAAGATTCTCAACGTAGTCACACATGCAAAGTCCCTTCTGCCATGCAAAGGAACATACTCACAGGTTCTGGGGATCAGGACGTGGACATCTTTGGGGGCCATTAGTCAGTCTGTCACCTACAATGTCTTCTTGCGTCCCCCACCTAGAATATGGCATTTTCTCTGCTTCTGTCTGTGGGAGGAGAGAGAAGGAAACAGGCTCTCTCGGCCCCACCCCTCACCACCCTCACTGTCTCCCTGGGCAGTGGAAGGTCACTGCAAGCCTAGAGGCTCCGTCCCTGCACCTGGTCTGAGCCCCTCCCAGTCCTCAGCTCTTGGGAGCAAAGCCAAGACCCTGGGAGGAGTCTGGGTGAGTCACCTGCTGACTCAGCACCTGTGGGCCCCGGGCTCACGTACCTGAGCTCACCAGGTGAGTTCACCTTCATGCCCCGACTCCACCTGGGGCAGCTCCAGGATGCCAGGGTTCGAGAGCTGTGAGTGGCTCAGGATTCAGCCCTCCCAGGCCCAGCTCAGGCTGATGGGCAGGTTGCTGTCAGCGACCCAGACCAGATGCAAAGATACCCCTTCCGAGGCTGTGCAGAACGAGTCAGAGGCTGGGGGCGGCCACTCCTGGGTGGACAGGCTCTGAGGAACCAATTAATATTTTCATAGTTATAAGCACAATTCTGCTTGTAAACACTTTAATGGCTCCTGTTGCTCTGGAAATAATGACCCAAACCCCCAAGGTGGTACCCAAGATATGTGTGATCCCTCTTAATATTAGCCTACGAGGCTGGTTTCAAATGACTAGCACATGTGTGCACACACACACCAACGGGTGTCCTCACCCTCTATGGACACGCAGGTACAAAACACACACTCAGAGACACAGACATGCACACCCACAGGCAGATACACAGATAGAAAGATGCACACACATGCATACAAAGTGGACAGACATTCACACACACAGATTGACACACACACACACACACACGCACACACAAGCTCACACACACACATGTGAGTGTTATTCATTGTGAGGCCTGGGACAGACTCTCTACCGTGCTATTTCTCCGGGGAAGGGTGGCCCCCTGCAGCCAGGCAGCTGGACCTGGTTTTCAGGCCACGGAGACCCAGGGCAGTGATGTCCCCCTCAGAAGAGAAAGAAGAGGGTTTCTCCCTTCTGCGGGACACTGCCTGACTTTGGGTGACTCCTTGGTCCTCAGCACCCGTGGTGTGCCAATGCCATGTGGTCCTGGGTCTCTGGAATCCTGCCAGTGGCAGACCCCCCACCCCCTACTCTTTCTGGACATCTATTGGAAAAGCAATGAATTGCCTACTTGATTTGAAAGAAGGGCAGTTTTAGGGGCCTGTTTTGCAATTCTGCAGAAATTGAAAAAGTGACTCAAACCAAGACAAAGCAGAGTGACTGAGTCAGAGACAGAGGTGCCGTGTCCTCCCTCCACGGGGCCTGCCCCCGAGGCCCTTCCCAGACTGCTGTTCGTGGGGTCCAGGCCGGGCTGAGGATGACATAGTAGCAATGGCAGCAAGAGGGACGGGCGGGGGATGCAATGACCTGGGGTCGACATGCCACGGGTTGGGGACATGCTCTGCTGATGCTGTGTGGTGTCCTCGTGGTACAACCTGGGACCATTTACTTAAAAAAGATGTCACCTGGGAAGAGCTGACCACGTCCTCCTGTCCCTGTGGGTCTGAGACGGGAAGCTTCTCACCAGAGCCGGCTAAATAATTTGCAGGCCCCTGAGCAAGGTGAAGATGGGGGGCCCCTTTGACAAAAAGCAGGAAAAAGCTTTTTCCTTTCTTCCACGGACTCTCTTTCTCGACCTGTTGTAAGGTTTTATTTTTAACATTAAAAAAATTGCAGCAAATACACACAACATAAAATTCACCATTTTAACCATTTCGAAGAGTAAACTTCAATGGCATTAAGTACATTCACAATGTTGTGCGACCATCACCAGTACCCAGTTCTAGAACTTTTCCGTGGGCCTAAAAGGAGACCCCATACCTATTAGCAGTCACTCGCCATTTTCCCCTCCCTGCAGCCTCTGGCAACCACTAATTGACTTTCCGTCTCTATAGATTTGCCTATTCTGGATGTTTCATTGAAAGGGAATCATACCATACGTGGCCTTTTGTGTCTGGCTCCTTTCACACAGTGTAATGATATTGAGGCTCATCCACGTTGTAGCATCTATCAGCGCTTCATTCCTTTTTATGGCTGAATAATCTTCCATCGTATGGATGGACCACATTTTGTTCATAGCATTTTTTATTTGCTAGTTAATGTCCAGTCCCTCAGGCTTGACTTGGGGGTGGGCAGTGCAGACCCTCACAGGTGCCCGGGGCTCCTGCCTCTCAACTCAGCATGACCCAGACCCTCTCTGTGCCCAGGTGGGGACTTAGGGGTGGGAGTGGGGCCGAGAATCTGTCCTGGAGATCGAGGAGGTGGGGAGATGGCGGAGGCATGACCGCGTGTGGTCCAAGGTCCCAAGCCCCCTAGTGCGTGCTCCGTTATCCCACAGAGTTCACTCACAAAACGCAAATTCAAGGATAAATTATTAAGGATTTCAAGATGGCAACCTCAAAGCATCACACCCCCAGCGTGAAGCCCTTTTGAGCTGGGAGCCCTGTGCAAACGCCCCACTTCTCCCTGTGGAGCTGGGAGCCTGTGTGGACTCCAGACACAGCCCCAAGACAGGCAGGGAGCCTGGGGGCGTGCTGGGCTTGGGGTCACACAAGGGTGAGGCCCCTGAGGGCAGGAGTCTGGTGGTCATATTCTCCTCTTTGTCCCCAGACCCCTCATGGAGTAGATATTTGCCTGACGAATGAATGAATGAATGAATGAGTGAACGAATGACCTCACCTGAAGCCATTACTCACCCATTTCCCCTGAGAGCCCCTCCCTTGAGGCCGACCCTGAGTGGCTCCTTGCCGATTTGGGGCAAGCCTCCCACATCCTCCCTCTTCCCTGTGACTTCCATCTGTGAAGAAGTTGGAAGAGGGGATCTTCTGGAACATTTGTGGTTCCCCAGGTTCCTCTTCTGTGGACGGTCACCGCCCCCTGCCCTCTCAGGAGCTTCATCTTGGAGCTTTCTTCAGCCAGAGAGGCAGCTCCTGAAGCCAGATGGTCCCAGGACAGGCCCAGCCCCTCGGACCTGGAGATGCTGCTGCTGCTGCCCCTGCTGTGGGCAGGTGAGTGGGCTGAGGGCCGGGGTCCTGGGCAGGGGCTGGGGCTGCAGCTGAGCCTCTGTGTCCCCCCAGGGTCCCTGCAGGACGCTCCCAGGTACAAGGTGCAAGTGCAGGAATCAGTGATGGTGCAGGAGGGCCTGTGTGTCCTCGTGCCCTGTACCATCTCCTGTGTCAGGGCCGGCTGGAATGACCCCACACCTGCTTATGGCTCCTGGTTCCAGAAAAGCGGTTATTCCTCGAAGGATGTTCTCATGGTCAAGAACAACCCAGCTAGGAAAGGAAAATCGAAGACCAGATTTCCATTCCGCCTCTCCGGGGACCCCTGGACCAACAACTGCTCCCTGAGCATCGCGGACACCAAGAAGGCGGGGAGAGTGGATACTATTATTTTCAACTGGAGAGAGGAGGGGATGTGAGAAACACTTACAAAAGTGCCCTGCTCACCGTGAACGTTAGAGGTATGGAATGAGCCCCAGGAACAGACCACAGGGGTGGGTGGAGCATGTCTTCCGGGGCAAGGATGGACCTCCATCCCCCATCTTTAAGGAGGACAGTGGAGTGTGGTTAGTTCAGGGTCCCATCTGGGTCCAGACTCGCCCTCTCTCCTCCCTAGCGCTGACACAGACCCCCGACATCCAACTGAACGAGCCCCTGGAGTCCGGCTGGCCTGGCCACCTGACGTGCTCCGTGCGGGGCGCCTGTTTCGAGTTGATGCCACCCATCATCTCCTGGATGGGGGCTGCCCTGGGAGCCCCGGGCCTGGACTTGAGGGCCTGTCACTCCTCGGAGATCTCACTCAGCCCCCGCCCGCAGGACCATGGCACCAACCTCACCTGTCGGGTCACCTTCCCCAGGGCTGGCGTCAGCACCGAGAGGACACTCAGGCTCAGTGTCTCCTGTGAGTGCCTCCCGGGGGCGAGGGGGAGGGCTGAGAGGGGAACGAGCGCTGGTGTCCCCGAGGCCGGGGTCCGGGAGGGCTGCAGAAAGGACATGGCTTTGTTCTGTTTCGATTTCCATTTCTGTGTCTCCTGGGGGTGGGTAGGTGGTGGTGGGGAAGGGCCAGCTCTGACTCCAGCCCTCACCACATCTCTGTCCTAGATGCTCCACAGAACCTGACCATCAGCATCTTCCGAGGAAATTGCACCAGTACGAGGGGCGTCCCCTCCCCAAGGCTGGGATGGGAGCAGGTGAGGCACAGTGAGACACAGGGAGAGCAGAGACGGGAGGCCCCCCACTCTCTGACAGATGGATTTTACCTACTATTCATTACATGCAAAGACTGTCTGTCAAATACATGCAAGTTATGGGGAATCACTATAAAATGAACACCTTGGTACTCACCACTGAGCTCAGGAAAAAGAACAGGAACCCCATCTTTGGAGCACCCTAAATGCCCCGTCCCAATTTTGGTCCCTTCCATCTGGCCTCAGAGAAAGCCACTACACTGAATCTTATCTTCTCATTTCTTTTATTTATTTAACTTTATTTTGATTGAGGTATAATTGACGAATAAATGGTGTACATTTAAAATGTATGACTTGATTTGACATATGTATACACTGCGAAATGATTTCCACAGTCAAGTTAATTAACACATCCATATTCCTTCTCCTTTCTTTTTTTTTTTTTTAGTGAGGAGATCAGCCCTGTGCTAACATCTGCCAATCCTCCTCTTTTTCTACTGAGGAAGACTGGCCCTGGGTTAACATCCGTTACCATCTTCCTCCACTTTATATGGGACGCCGCCACAGCATGGCTTGCCAAGCAGTGCGTCTGGGCACGCCCGGATCCGAACCTGCGAACCCCATGCCGCCGCAGCGGAGGGTGCGCACTTAACCGCTTGCGCCACCGGGCCGGCCCTCCTTCTCCTTTTTAAGTTTACTGAATATGTTTGAATCTCTACACGATGTTTAATTTACCATGCTTTTGGAAGCTTTATGTGAATAGGACTGAAACATATGTGTTCTTGGCTATTTATTTTTTTTAGTTGAAATTAAATTCTCATAAAATTAGCCATTTTATTTATTTTAATTTATTTTATTTATTTATTTATTTATTTATTTTTTTGTGGGGAAGATCAGCCCTGAGCTAACATCCGTGCTAATCCTCCTCTTTTTGCTGAGGGAGACTGGCTCTGAGCTAACATCTATTGCCAATCCTCCTCCTTTTTTTTCTCCCCAAAGCCCCAGTAGATGGTTGTATGTCATAGTTGCACATCCTTATAGTTGCTGTATGTGGGACATGGCCTCAGCACGGCCGGAGAAGCGGTCCGTTGGTGCGCGACCGGGATCTGAACCCGGGCCGCCAGTAGCGGAGCGCGCACACTTAACCGCTAAGTCATGGGGCCAGCCCTAAAATTAGCCGTTTTAAAGTGAACAATTCAGTGGCATTTGGGACATGCACAATGTTGTGCAACCATTGCCTCTATCTAATTCCAGAACATCTTCATCACCCCAAAGAAAGCCCTGTACCTATTAAGCCATCACTCTCTATTCCTCCCTCTCTCCAGCCCCAGGCAACTACTAATCTCCTTTCTGTCTCCATGAATCTGCCTATTCTGGATATTTCATATAAATGGAATCATAAAGGATGAGGTCTTTTGTGTCTGGCTTCTTTCACTTAGCATCATGTTTTCAAGATTTATCCACGCTGTAGCATCTATCAGAACCTCCTTCCTTTTTATGGCTGAATAATATTCCATTGTCTGGATGGACCACCGTTTGTTTCTCCTTCCATCCGTCGATGGACGTTTGGGCTGTTTCCACCTTGTGGCTAATGTGAATAGTGCTGTTTGAGTCCCTGCAGGCAGTTCTTTTGGGCGTACACCAGGAGTGGAGTTCCCAGGTCACAGCTGCCTTGAATTTCACGTGGTACCATCTCGCGTTCTTGATCTTCCCCTGTGTTGCTCGTAGCTGTAACTACTGCGTCTCCTCGTCTGTTGATCGCCGCACTGTGTGCAGGCACCACACTTTCATTTTCCATCCACTTTGGATGAGCACTTGTGTCGTTGACAGATTTTAGTTTTCATGATCATGCTGCTGTGAACATTCCCGGAGCAAACAGAACAACATTTCTCTAGGACAATACTTCTTAAGCCTTATCGAGCACAGAAATTTGTTAAGGATCTTGTGAGGATACAGATTCTGACTCAGGAGGCCTGGGAGGGCCCGCGATTCTGCTTTTCTAACCCGCTCCTAGAGGATGCTGCTGCTACGGGGCCACCGTCCGCATTCTGAGCAACGAGACTATAAGTGTTAGGCCCGGAGCAGAATTGTGGGGTCGCAGGGTTGTACATTTTCAATGCTACTAGATAGTGTTATTATAGAATGCTCTGGAAGGCCACACAAGAAACTGGCAATATAGGTAGCCTCTGACAAGAGGAATTTGTTGCCTGGGGAGTCAGCGTGGGAGGGAGACTTCGTTCTGAACACCCTTCCTCCTTTTGAATTTTAGGATGCAAAATGTGAGCTCCCCACTTATCCTAGGTCACCTGGGCGGAAGGGGATGACGAGGTAGAGACCAGATCCTGAAGAGCCTTGAAGGATTCGCTACTTGAATTTGGGATTCTTGAATGAAGGATGCTGAACAGTTCAGGAAAGAGAGGGAGATATGTCAACATGGATGAACCGCCTCAAAGAGGTCAAGGGGCAATCCGTCGTCCGTCAACGAATGGATGGATAAACCAAAAGCAGTCCATCCAGACAATGGAAGTGATTCAGCCACGAAAAGGAAGGAAGTTCTGATAGATGCTACAACGTGGATGAAGCTGGAAACCACGGTGCTGAGTGAGAGAAGCCAGACACAAAAGCCCCCATCGTATATGATTCTATTTATACGCAATGTCCAGACTAGACAAGTCCATAGAGATGAAAAGTAGGTTAGTGGTTGCCCAGGGCTGGGGTGATGGAAGGACCGGGGGCGATGGCTGAGGGGTGCAGGGGTGCTTTCTTTAAGCTTTGATTTCTCCAAGCACACTTTCCACTGTGCTTATCTTTTTTCTTTTTGGGGTGATGAAAATGTTCTAAAATTGATCGTAGCAATGGTTGCCTGACTCTTTAAATGGCATGTAAATGGAGTTGTATGGTATGTGAATTATACCTCCATAAAGCTGCTTAAAAAACTACTTGTGGAGATCCCTTCCCAACTTAAAAGCAAAGGAGAGGAGAGACAAATAGGAGCAGGGCTTCAGAGCCTCAGGCCTGGGCTCAGCGCACTCTCTCTCTCTCTCTGTCTCTGTCTCTGTCTCTGTCTGTGTCTCTGTCTCTGTCTTCAGAACTGAAATACCCAGGGAATGGCTCACTTCTTTCAGTCCTGGAAGGAGAGTCTCTGCGCCTGGTCTGTGTCGCTGACAGCAACCCTCCGGCCACACTGAGCTGGGCCAAGGGGAGCCGGACCCTGAGCCCCTCCAGGGCTCAAAGCCTGGGGTCCTGGAGCTGCCCCCGGTAGAGTCGGGGCATGAAGGCGAATTCATCTGCCGAGCTCAGCACCCTCGGGGCTCCCTGCGCCTCTCCCTGCATGTCTCTGTGCAGAGTGAGTGTGGGAGGAGGGAAAGCACCCAGGGAGGGGACACCTGGGTCCTGGGGAGGGCAGAGGCACTGCTGACCTTCTCCTCCCTCCCCATAGACCGCCCCCCCCAGCTGCTGGGACCCTCCTGCTCCTGGGAGGATGAGGGTCTGCACAGTGTCTGCTCATCCCGAGCCCACCCGGCCCTCTCCCTGCGCTGGTGGCTGGGGGAGGGTCTGCTGGAGGGGAACAGCAGCAACGCCTCCTTCACGGTCACCTCCAGCTCCACTGGGCCCCGAGCCAACAGCTCCCTGAGCCTCAGAGGGGGACTCAGCTCTGGCCTCAGACTCAGCTGCAAGACCACGAATGTCCACGGGGCCCAGAGCGCCACTGTCCTGCTGCTGCCAGGTCAGGGGTCTGCTGAGGGGTGAGACTTGCAGAGAAAGGAGTCTCGATCCTAGAGAAGATGAAGCGTGGAGGGAACGGGGTTCGAGCCTGGTTGGGAAGGTGTCAGAGGAAAGGGTGGGGGGCTGAGTCCTGCTCTTCGGCTGGTTGGGAGCTGAAGAACGTGACAGCTCAAGTTCTGTGGGAGGAGGGGCCTGGGGCTCGGAGTCACCCTGAACCCCACTCATCTGCAGGGAAGCCTGAGCTTGGGGAAGGATTCGTTACAGGGGCTGTCACAGGAGCTGGTGTTGCTGGCCTGCTCAGTCTCTGCACCTGTCTCCTCTTCCTCATGTGAGTGTTGCCCCAGGAGGAAAGGTGAGTGCAGGGGGTGGGAAGGGGTCCTGGAATCCCAGACAGTCCCAGCTGGAGGATTCTGGGTGGTGCAGAGGTTGTGAGAATTGGGCCTTGGCCCAGAGACTCAGAGCAGAGTCTGTTCCCACCTCTGGATCCCAGTCGTCCCTGAAGGGCCCCCGTTCTCTTTATCAAAGTCATCAGGCTTGGTATGAACCCCAGCTCCCCGCCTTGGTCAGCTCTTCTAACCTTAAGCAGGGGGACAGGAGTCACACTCCAAGCTCTGAGCCAGCCGCTGGTGAACGGTCCTGGCCTCCCCCGCCCCCCCAGAGTGAAGATCTGCAGGAAGGTGGCACCTGAGGCGGCAGCTGGTGAGGATAAGCCCTCCATGCTGGGTCCTCTCTCCCCGGTGAGTGATGAGCTCTCTGTCCATCGGGATCCCATCTGGCCACCTCCCCACGGCCACATTTCTCTTGATGACTTAAATGATCATCATGCCATAAATAGGCTTTTGCACTTGGGTCCCCATCAACTCAGTCACCAGGTCCAGCGACCCAGGAGTCACCCTCCCCTCTGCTCTCCATCTCCTCTCACAGAGCCAAGGACCACCACGCCTGTCCATCTCACTGTCTGTGTTCAGCTCCAACTGGACCCTCCACACCCCCACCTCCTCATTTCTCTCTGGACCCCCGACCCACTTTTCCCCTCCTTCCTATCTCTCCTCCCCAACACAGGATGCCAGAGAGGTCTCCCCAAAATAATGACTGTCTACTACACAGTTCAGGGGTCCCCAAGACACGCTCAGGTTCAATAAGTCACTCAAAGAACACACCAAACACTGTTATGCTCACAGTTACAGTTTATTACAGAAACGGATGTGCCTTTACGCTTGGCACACGAGCCAGGGTCCCCGAGAGACCAGGCATGAGCTTCCAGTGTCTCTCCCAGTGGAGACGTGCAGACAGTCCTTACTTCTCCCGGCAACAACGTGTGACCACACACACAGAGTATTGCCCCCCAGGGAAGCCCACCTGAGCCTTGGTGTCCGGGGTTTTTATTGGAAGTTGGTCCTGTAGACACAGCTGACTGCCCATGTGGCTGACCTCAGTCTCCAGCCCCTCTAGGGGTCAAGCTGATACAACGTGGCTCGAGGCCCCACCATCAATCACAATGTTAGCACAGACTATCTGGAGTGGCCTAAGGCCCCAGGTAAACCCAGATACTCCTATCAGGCAGGACATGCCAAGGGTTAGAGATTCCCTCCCACGTGCTTGGGCAAAGGGTCAAAGCTTTCTTTGGGCAAGGTTAACCCTTTACTGCACAATACCCTTTGATTTGGGGGTTCATAACACAATTTTGTGATTGTGTTTGTCTGAACTGAAATGCTGAGTGGTCCCTGAAGGCAGTTCAGATCTGAGCAAATCCCTGTCCTTCTCACACCACCCACCCATCCTCTTACAATTTGCCATTAGATATTAATATAATTGACTACTGCTTTAATGTGCTGCCCCCACTGCAAGCTGCGGGACTTCAGGGATGGTGTCTGCTTTGTTCCCTACTGAATATCCGGGGCCTGGCACAAGGGAGCTGTTCCATAAGGCAGGGGGCATTGGAGTCAGAGAGACTTGGGCATGAATCTTGGCCCCACCAACAATTAAATGTGTGATTTGTATTAGGCTCAGTTTCTCTACCTGATAAATGGGGATAACAGTGTCTCCCCAGTGGATTGTTGTGAGGAAGCTGGGAGACTGGCAATTGCTTACCAAGGGCCAGGCATTATTACTCTCAAATATTTGTTGAATGAATGAATGAGTGAATGCGGACTCAGCCAATGTTTGTGGAATGAACAGACGAAAGGTTTGCTTGTGGACCTTCCTTGCTCTCTTCCAGCGCCCATTATCCTAATATGAGCCCCTTCTTTCCCCTCCACTCAGGGTTACCAACGTGAGTGTCCGCCAGACAGCCCCCTAGACCACCTGCCCCCAGCTGTGGCCGCCCCCGCCTCGAGAGAGGAGCAGGAGCTCCATTACGCCTCCCTCAGTTTCCACGAGCTGAGGCCCCGGGAGCCTCGGGACCAGGAGGCCACCAGCACCACCGAGTACTCCGAGATCAAGATCCGCAGATGACGGCCCAGCTCTGGCGACCTCAGGCTGGAGGACCCAGGGCCTCTCCAGGAAGGGAGACATCAGGGGAAATTCCTGAGGGTACAGTTTTCCATGCAAACGGGCTGCCAACTAGTATATGGGAGTCCTACTGGTGTGGTGAGTGGTGGGCAGAACTGGGCTCAGATTTCGCCCTGTCACCAACTACAAGCGTCAGTTTGAGCAAGTCACTTGGCTTCTCAGTCTCCCCCTCTGTAAAATGGACACAATGAACCTAATTCACAGGGTGGTTGTGGGGCGTCAAGGCAGTAACTAACAGAAAGCCTCCAACAGGGTGCGTGGGCGGAGAGCACCGTGCCCGAGGCCTTGCCTCTTCCTGGGGCAGCCTGGCTGGTATAGGGTGCAGTCATCCCGGCCCATATGGGGACGACTCTGCAGGGCTGTTCTAGCTCAGAGCTCCCCACAGGCTGGGCTTCGGCTGTCGCCGGGCTGCACTGCAGCTCAGTTCTCTCTCTGCTCAACCTGCCTCCTTCCCCTCCTCTCCAAGGGACAAGGAGACTCTGCCTGCTGGGCTCGCTCAGAGCCTGCTCCCTGGAAACCCAACTTGTGTATTTTACCATACACAAAATCACTCACCGATTATCTGAAATAAATGATGGGTTGTCTGCATTACATACCTCTTTCTTCAATTATATGTCCTTGATGTTTTGGTTCTCCTTAACAGTTTCTTCTTTTTGCAGATTTTGCTTATAAAATTCCATGCAGTCACAGTCTGCGTTCTGTTTATATTGTTGTATAGTTTTCACAGTGGTAACATGCAACTTATTTTGTTCTTTTTTTCATTGAATGACCATTGGATTTTTTCCGTTAATGAGGAAACACGCTGAACATTGGCATGATGAGCCAATATATTGAAAAAGTATTGGCATAAAGTTAACAATGCTGGTGACCGTTCTTCAGACTTGATGTGATGAAGCACATAATGTAACCACAGGACCAGTTTAAACTGACCCCATCTTAGCAACAACAGAATGTTAAAGTTGTTTTTCAGGAGCAGTGAGCCAAAACTGCAGGTCCTGTAGCCGGAGCACACACAGAAGAGAAAATTTGGACCTGAAGTAACACTCAGAACCAGATTCCCCCCACAGAACCAAAAGGACTGGGACATGACCAGAACTTGAAAGACGGACTCTTTCCAGAAGTGAGGGGTCTGTTGTCCAGGAAGATCTGTATTAAAGCCCCTTTCCACACCTTACCAGTGGTCGTTTGGAGTCCTGCCAATCAAAATTCATCCTGCCAGCACTTCCAAATACCAGCTTGCCCTTCCTAACCCCTTAAATTTTACCTCACACCTTGGACTGGGGAGACAGATTTGAAAGTCTTGCCTCCTGTCTCCTTGCTGGTTGACCTCGCAATAAAGCCTTTTCTTTTCTGAAAATCTGGTGCTATAATATTAGCTTTTCATGTGCATTGGGCAGCCGGCCCTTTACCCAGTAATTCCATCTTTCACGGCACAACTGGCTTTGCCATTCTTCAGGATTATGTTGCATCTCTTGATCAATGACTTTTAAAAATGGTATCCAGGGGCCGGCCCCGTGGCTTGGCGGTTAAGAGTGCGCGCTCTGCTACTGGCAGCCCGGGTTCAGATCCCAGGTGTGCACCAACGCACTGCTTCTCCGGCCATGCTGAGGCCGCGTCCCACATACAGCAACTAGAAGGATGTGCAGCTATGACATACAACTATCTACTGGGGCTTTTGGGGAAAAAAGGAGGAGGTTTGGCAATAGATGTTAGCTCAGAGCTGGTCTTCCTCAGCAAAAAGAGGAGGATTAGCACGGTGTTAGCTCAGGGCTGATCTTCCTCACACACAGACACAAAAAATGGTATCCACTGACAAAATAAGAGCATTGCCATTTTTTTATTCCCTTCATCAACACTACACAAGATGGCTCCATTTGCTCCGTGCTGGTAGAGTATTTAGTGACATCGATGTAAAAGAATAGAATTCTTCAAGGGAGAAAATCTTTTTGAAGACAGTCATGGAAATGCTGCAGTAATTATCCACTTCAAGTTGGAATTTCTTTTCCTGTCCTAAGTGATATCTCTTCTAAGAATTGCCTTGATATTTAAGAGAGAAATTTTTCATCAATTCTTTAACACATTCAACAAGTTCTTGTGAGCAACAGAGCACTTAACACTTTTCTATTCTTTCAATTTGTACAATCCTATTGCTAAACAGATACTGGAAATTTTAAGAAGGAAATAAAATAGGCTTCACTTCATGGATTATCTTAATTTGGGGGGCCTTTTCTTCAGAATTAAAGTATGATTTCAGGGGGCCGGCCCAGTGGCGCAAGCAGTTAAGTGTGCGTGTTCCGCTGTGGCAGCCCGGGGTTTGCCAGTTCGGATCCTGGGTGCGCACCGATGCACCGCTTGGGAAGCCATGCTGTGGCGGCGTCCCATATAAAGTGGAGAAAAATGGGCACGGATGTTAGCCCAGGGCCAGTCTTCCTCAGCAAAAAAAGAGGAGGATTGGCAGATGTTAGCACAAGGCTGATCTTCCTCACACACACACACAAAAGTATGATTTCAGTGCTTCCAATAAATAAACTGAGGGTTCTCTTGACTTCATTTGTTAGAGAGCCATTGGGGATTCGAATGAGAGAACTGAAGAATACTGAACAGCAGTAAATCATAAAAATTCTTTATTTTCTATATTCAAACAGTATAAAGGCTAAGAAAACAATTTCCTGACAATTACTTCAACGTCAACAGAAAAGACATCAGAAGCTGTTGAGCAGCAGTATGTAGACAAGGGGCGGGGCCCCCAACACCTCCCATAGAACATTCACGCTGTGCTTTGACTTTGAACAAACATTGTCTACACCTTTTACCAACACCCATCAAAATTTGTATTGTTGTATTTCCACTAAAAGCAGCAAAATATTTCCCATTAACTCCCAACTCAGTGTAAAAAATAAGACAACAGGCCAAAAATGGAGTCACTTATGCTAAGCCCCACGTCACCAAACCGAGACTTAATGACAGTTTCAGTTCTCCCAGGACTCGCCTGACCAGCACTAGTGAGGGCATCTGCCTGACAGACCCCTGCCGACCCCTAAAGGAAGGTGACCTTGCAATAGCCAACCTGATTTTTGCCTAGTAGAGCTTCCTTGTTCCTGCTCCCTTCTGCTATAAAAGTCTCGCATTATGTACAGCTCCTCGGAGCGCCTTTCTATCTATTGGATTGGATGCTGCCTGATTCATTAATCATGGAATAAAGCCAAGAAGACCTTTAAAACGTACTCAGTAAATTTTGTTTCAGTAAGAGAGTCTCTCAAACATTTGCTATTGTTTCTGGGGTCTCGTCTGGAAGGGATTTTACTTGTCATAGCTTTAGATGCAAGCCTTTTCCACAAGAAAAATATTTCACAGGCAAAAGGACATGATTTGTCCTTCCCAGCTGCCTGCCGGGGCCCCTCTTGGAGACACCGCACACCTGCATTTACTGAAGGCTCTGAGTTGTCCCGCAGTAAAAATTATTTTAAAAAACCCAGCACCAGCAGCAAGAACGTCTGGTGAACCTGGAGCCAGGGTTTCATTTGGGGGCAGAGGCGGGTGCAGGGGACAGAGGGGGCTCCAGCCACCGTCAGCCATGTGGTGGCGTGCGGGTCATTCCCACCCCCTGGGCCATGTGATTCTCTCTAATGCTGACGACAACACCCTCCTCTTTCAGGGGTAGGGGGACGAGCTGCAGAAACACACGCGGTTAAGAACCCGGCTCAGGAGACAGACAGACCAAAGCGGGTTTGGAGACACGGGAGGAAATTGTCCTCACTCTCCTTGGAGGTGGGATTCTCCCGCGGTCTGAGCAGCGCTGGGCCCCGGCTGGCTTTGCTTGCTCCAAGATGAGGAGCTGCTGGCACTTCAGGGCGCTTGACTGGGCCCAAGGGGCAAGAGGACGGGAGAGGCAGACATTGACCGTCCTCTTACCTGATTTGGAGCCCAGAGGGCCAATGACGTCCTTATTCTTTCACGGACTCGTGAACAAAGAGGGCTTTATGGGTTTTCTCTCTGGTTAAGGAATAGCCCCTTCTGGAAAGGGTTAGGCACGCCTGCTTTCAACCAGGAAATGATGCCTCTCCTGGGCAGCTGAGAATCAGGGCATCTCAGAGTAGTTTCTGCCCCCACCCGGCCTCTGGTTCTCCCCATCCCAAAGTATGGTGGATGATTGAACATATTCAGGCTCCAACCCGGGGAGGTGTGTTTCTCTCCTCCTTCCTCTTAATCCTTCCCAGGCTAATCATTCGCCACATGCTGCTGGCCACTCTGCCTTTGAAATCGCGCCCCAGGCCCTTCCTTCCTCCAACCACTGTCCTACTGCTGTGGCCCAGGCCTCATGCTCCCAGGCAGGGGGCGTTGCACCAGCCCTTCCACTGGTCTTTCTGCGTCCAGGCTCTCCCCCCAGGCCCCTTCCTATCCCTAGGTTCCTCACTCTCCATCAGAGCGCCATGCTTCTTCCTCAGAGTGCTGAGCACAGCCTGCAGTCTCATTTAATACCATCTCCTCCCACCTGACTGCAGGCTCCAGAGCTCAAGGACTCGGTGCGTCTCGTTCATGGGATCCTCTCTGCGGCACAACGCCTGTTACGTGGCACGTACTCAAGAAGTGCCTGCTGGACATTTGTTGAATAAAAGGAAGGATGAACATGTGGAAGAGGAGAAGGGAAGTGGATGGGAGAATGAGTGGTAAGAGAACGGATGGATGAAAGATGAATGAATGGAGGGAGGGATGAGTGGATGGAGGGAGGGATGAGTGGATGGAGGGAGGGATGAACGAATGGAGGGAGGGATGAACGAATGGAGGGAGGGATGAACGAATGGAGGGAGGGATGAGCGGATGAATGGAGGGAGGGATGAGCGGATGAATGGAGGGAGGGATGAGCGGATGAATGGAGGGAGGGATGAGCGGA